CACCTGATTTCAAGCCCCTTTGTCTGGTGTGCCTCAGACAATGGGGGTCCTTGAATGCAGACAAATTTGTCCACACAGTTCAGGGAAGAAAGATCCAGAAATGCTATTCAATGTTAGCAGCTTCCCCTCCTAAAAAAAAAATAATCTACATTTTCACAAGGTGACATTCAGTTGTTGATTGTGAAAAAGGACAGTAATTGTCCATAAGGAAGAGTCATGTTTTAACAAAGGGGCACAAGGGTAACTAAAGAGATCCATTTCTCAAAGAAATGCATGCTCTACCAAGGCTTCCACACGGTGCTGAGTGAGGATCTGACCATCAAGAGATGAGGCATTTTAATTTTTTTTTTTTAAATGACATGAGATTGCACACGTTGGTTCATACACCTAGAGGGAGTGGCTTGACTTGAGGCCGCCTGCGAGACATCTGAGATAGCCAGAGGGCAACTGCTTTCAGGTCTAGGAGACCACGCCTACACAGCAGACTACACAGTCAAGCAGAACTCCCCCTCCCTTACAAGAGCTTCTCACTTTACTCATGGATACCACATCATCCTCAACAGAAAAGGCGGAGCCCAGAACACTGGGCTGCTCTTGGGCTACACTCTCCCTCTCCTTCCTTCCCTAACAGGTCTCTCCTCATGAGACTGTGCACTCACCTGAACACTTCCTCCATTGTCCTTCACATGCCTTATTAATGCTGTTGCACATTCCTGCACAGTACAGGTGCCTGTTTCTCCTGACTGACATATCTCCCCTCCTTCCTCAGCATCATTGTTCTCATAAGACTATAAGTCCACCCAAACACCCCTCAAATAATGTGACATTTAGGTCATGAACTCCATCAGTGCTGCACACTTCTGCCACTAGCCCCACCTTCACAGCAGAAAGAAGGCATTGCATGCTCCTGGGTGACACTTCTCACCTCTGCAGGTCCACTCTCATGAGACTACAAGCCTACTCATATGTTGCCCTCAATGGGATGGGGTGTCACTTGGCTCGTGAAGGCTGCCAGAGACCTTCTCAGCAAAGGGAGGCCCAGCATGGTCTGCTCTTGGGCAATGATCCTCTCTGTCTCACCCCAGTTGCTGCTTGCTCCCTGCAGGGTAACAAACATGTCTGAGAACCCCTCAGGCACCCAGGAGTGATGGGGGAGCATATCAAGCAAGAATGACCAGGTGGCTCTGGGAGCAGGGTGAAGAGCATAGCAGCCCAAGGTGCTGCCCTCTTGCTGGTCAGGGGGGAAGACCTGAGCAGAATTGGACTCCTTCAGTGGGTCAGCACCCGCCTGTGTGGCTGGAACCACAGGCAGGGCTTGGGCTTTTTTGACTACAGGACTCTTTTTGATGAATAAAGGCCACTGAACAGGGATAGGATGCTTCTAAGTTACAAGGTTTAAGCATATGTTTGGAAATGGGCTTGTTAAACTTGTAGGGAAGACTTTAAACTAGATATGCCTGGGGAGGGTTACCACAGCCTGAAGAGAAGCAAGGACAAAAGACTACAGGAGAGAATGCACTCTTAGCAAGTTTGGGTATGACATCAAATTGCAGGAAGTGGTTGTAACACTGGAGAGTGGGGATGCTAACCAGAAGGACTTGAACAGGCTGGGGAAATGAGCTGATAGGACCTTCATGGATTTCATCAAAAGTGAATAAAAAGTCTTACATCTAGGACGGAATAACCTGGGGCAAGCTAGCTGCAAGCAGCTCTTCAGAAAAGAAACCCAGACAAACAGCAAGTTGAATATGAATCAGCAGCATGCCCTTGCAGCAAAAGCAGCCAATCACATCCCATGCTCCATTAGCAAGAGTGTAGCAAGCAGGTCCAGAGAAGTGATCCTTCCTCTCTATCTTACACTTGTGAGACCACGTTTGGTGTACTGTGTCTGCTTGTGGCCTGTTTAGTACAAGGAAGATAGTGACATGCTGGAGCAAGTCCAGCAGATGCCACCAAGCTGGCCAGGGAGCTAGAGCACCAAGACCTGTGTTCAGTCTGGAGAAGAGAAGGCTTAGAGGAGATCTAATTATTGCCTGCAGTTGTCTGATTGGAAGACACAGAGAAGAGAAAGACAGACTTTTCTTGGAGCAATAGGCCAAGAGGAAGTGAAAAGTTGAAACATGGGAAACTCCAATTAGATAGCAGGAAAATGTGGGGGTTTTACCATGGAAGTGAATAAATACCACACAGATTTCTTGAAGAGCTTACGTACTCTCCACCCTTAGAGCTGCTTGGGATTTGACTGGACAAGGCCTTGAGCAGCCTGATCTAAATAGACCTGTTTTAAGCAGAAGCAGAAAGAAGCAGAAGTTTGGAAAAGATGAACGCTAGATGTTCCCTTACAAGCTTGATTATTCTGTGATTCTAGAAAACCGGTAGCTAGAGCCAAGTTTTCTAAAGGGGATATGGGTAGACTGAGTCCAAATCCTTCAGGGGATGTACCCTAAGGTGTCATGGGGAGACATGCCAAGTTCCAGCATCTTTTGCACATCCTGTCAAATCTTTTAATCTTGGTTTTAAACATAACAAAAGGAGGAATATAAAAATGAAATGCCTGATGGTTGTGTGGGAAACGTTCCTCCCAGAATGTTCTTTTCCTGAAAAAAAAACCATTTTTCTCTCATCCAAACAAAGGAATAATCCCTAGTTAAGCGCAGAACAATTTAAATGCTAAACTGAATTTTATTTAATAATGTTCTGCACGGAAAGGCAGAATTTATTCCTTGTGTTTTAAGTAAAGACAGCATACTTATTAGAGAACACTGACGACTCCAAATAGGCTTATCACAACAGGAGCACTAACATCATTTATACAAGACTGTGCAGTGTCATCAGCAGTTGTAACACCATTGGACTATTTGTATTTGAATAAGCATTTGTATATGAGGGAAAAAAAAAAACAACCAACTTCTTTTGCTTATGTTTTCTAATTCCAGAAGTATTTTCCTGGAGAGAATCTTTCCCATCTAGTAGGTATGAGGTCTTGGTTTTTCAGCTACTATGTGTATATTAGTTTCTGGAATCACCACATGGAAGGAAAACCCCCACCATTAATCTTTTTTCATATAACGACATATATTGGTACATACCAATGTTTGTTATTGTGACATTTTTCTTCGTATTTTTAAAGGGGTTTGGTTCTTTGGGTTTCAGTTACAAAATTGTACTAGAAATAGCCTTAGATGTACAAACTCCTGTAGTTTGAAGCTGAATTAACTGGCAAAGCTTCTCTGGGTGCTAGTGTGGAATAAGCACGCCATCTATTTTGCAGAACAATGCCAGGCAGAAGCAGTTTATTTCCGTAGCTATAGGAGAAGATTGCAAAACGATGAGGTTCAGTCCTCTATCTGTGTGAACTCTGAATTAAAACTAACATAAAAGGGCTTATATACACTTACAGCAGGCATGAACTGCTTTGCAAAGGGGCCTGATACGGCAGGGCAGCATCTGCACAGAAGGAAAATCTGCTGCAGTAACTTTAATATGTATTCCTGAGAACTGGGGCCCTTCAGCCTGCTGGCCTTGGCTTGGTTCAGCTCATCCCTCCCTCCCTGACTGGCTTTTAGACCTTGCACACATGCAGACACAGGACTTATTTTTTTATTTTACTGCAGTTATAAAAGCTGATTTCAGAGTAGGCCTGCATGAGAAACTCTTTCTTCCATTGCTGTACCACTGAGGATGTGAAACTGGGCTAGTGAAGCAGATGAACACAGAGCCATGCCCGCTAAATACCAGCAAAATGGTCTGCCAAAAAGGAAAATAGTTTTTCTCAGAGACCTTGACACTGCCAAAAGCTGTACCTCTGCAAAATATTATCCCCTCCACTTCCTCATCTGACAAAAGGTCACATTAAGTAGGACTGACTTCAGACGAGGTGGAGCAAGTTAACTTGAGCAATTGCCAAGAAAGGCTGAAGCCAGTTTGGCTGAATTTGCCTCAAGTTACTTGCAGCAAAGTGGGAAAGTATTTCACAGAATATAGGCAGCTTCAGGGAAGGACATTTCTCTTTTCGTGCTTCTTGCAAATCCATCAGCAACTGCAACCCCACGAGGGGGCTCTGCCAGCGCAGGTATCAGCAGCATCAACCCTTCCAGTGAGCAGCTCCCACTGGTGCCCATTCACATCTTGCCTGCAGACAAGGCTTTTAGTAGGGAGCCTTGCTTCTGTGGGAAATGGCCATAAAATAAACCTAAGTATGCCTGATATAGTGTGATGTGAAAGCACCTCTTACATGGCAGGGTCTCTAAAGCAGTTTAAATTTCAGGGTGTCAAACTGGTATAGTTGCAGGATAATCAGAATAGTAGTTCCCTTTGGGCTGCTTCTAGGCATGACTGACAGCTACCGTATGATCTCACTGTGCCTGGAACAGGTATAAATAAATGGTAACAAGGAAATTACTTGGATGCCTTATTCCTGCTAGATGTCCCCCAGCTGAAGACACTTGTACAGGAATAGTTTAAGAAAGCCTGGCGTGGACAAGGTTTTTGAGATCAAAGTGCGGAAAATGCTACTGTATATAAGAAAGAGAGCTTCCTCCTATGCAGTACCAAGTACAGTGAAGGGGGAGGGTCATTTAAACAGGACACACAGATCCAGATAAGACTTCATTATATCTTTTAATACAATGTCCATTAAAATTCTGAAGTGAAATGAACTGTATAATGGCAATCACAAAAGTGTAAGGAGAATATACGTTCCAGTTCAAGGAAAGATTTGTCCCTATAAAGCATAAAAAGAAACGAGTGATGAAGGTCATTTAAATGCCATTGTATGCGTTCCCTGGAACAACTGCTTTGGCTCTTTGGTCATAGCACCTGTCAATTGTACAGTGCTTGACTGTTCACTGCTGTTAGTAGATTGCTAGCACTGAAAGAAATAGAGGTGTAAACAGCCAGAGCAGCAGTGACACAGGAGAACGACACACAGGAGCAGCAGTGACAACTGTCAGCGCGCTGCTGCTGCTTCCTCGATGCGCTCCTTCCTCGTGGCGCTGGGCTCACATGAGCACCATGATGTCTTCCAGCGGCTTTCGGATCAGCGCAGGCACAGTAGCATCTTTCTTGGGATAGCCAACAGGGAGCAGCAAGAGCAGTTTCTCGTTTGCTGGGCGCTGGAGCAATGCCCGGAGTTGGGGTCCGCAGTTGAGAGGTGTGGAGGTCACTGTGTACAGACCTGCGTTCTGCAGACAGACAGACAGCGAGAGTGAGACAGAGGTCTGTGCTCTGTGTAGCTGCTGCTCCAGCCAGGCCTGTACACATTGTCCAGTCCTATTGACTAGACCAGAAACACCTCTTTGTTGGACTCTTTGTTAGAATGTCTGATTTACTAACAGCCTCAGCAGCAGCTAGCAGGGGGATCACTGGCATACCATCCCCTGGAGTTCATCTGGCTCTACAGGCAAATGTTTGGGTGCTTGCCTCCATACAGCTGGCAGAAAGATGCCTTAATAGCTTTGTGAATACTTGTTCCTGCTTAAGAGCTGTACGTCATGGGGATGGGGGACACAGGCTCTGCCTCAGAATTTGTCACAGGAGTCTGTTGACAGCTCTTACAGTAGCCAATGTTCTGGCTTACATGAGAACCCCAAGATAAGTCTGCGTACCACTCCTTCTCTCATACAAAATCTCACAAAAAAAAAAAAAAATCTAAGCAGTCTGACAAATAAGAACAAGCTGATATTATCCAAGATATGACCACACAGCTGAGGTGCTTCCTGAGAGTTACACATGTGAATTTCAGTCTCTCCCTTTATGTAATTCAAACATTTTTGGAGGCTTAGAAGTATAAATTCAGTCAAGGAGAGGTGCTCAGGCAAGTGTTAAGTAATCTCTATGATATTATCAAGAGAAGGACTAATAATGGCAGTGCCAAATGTTATGAGTCAATGGCTCTGTGTCCTTTAACATTGTCAATCAATTTGTAGGAGGTGGCAAAGACACCGCACTAAGGAACCTGACAGCTGGTGGGAAGCCTCAGAAACACCACCTGATGGGGGGCTGGCTCACTCCTACTGCTTCTGACTAAGGTACCAGTGACACAATGCTGGTTCTGCCCCATTCCCTGTGCATTTTGTTTGCTTGCAGCTCCATGGAGGGGGAATACAGAGCACTGTGCAGTTGCACAGCAGCAAGATCCCAGCAATGTGCTTCTGCATTTGCTCGCTTCTCAGATTTCCCATCCTGAAGATCCTCCTGAGGAGCAGCAGTGTGGGAAGGGAACTGTCACTCAAAACAGAATGAAGGAGAAATGCAAGTTCCTGCCAGGAAATTGGCCTAATATAAGAGGTGGCACCTTGCTGTTATCCTGTGGACAGGCCAAGATAACTATCAGAATAGCTTCACTATTTAAACACTTGTGTGAGTACATCAGAACTGAGCACTGAGACACCACCGAGAAAATCCAACTGGCTGATGGTCAGCATGCTGAGCTTTAGAAATCAGTCCACTTTCAGAAATGCCTCAGAAAGGCTGATTGAAATAGTACAGCCTGTTTTGTGAAATATGTCCCTGATTTTTTTTTCCAGCATTGTGTACTAAAAATGATTTGGGGTCAAGCTCTCTTTTAGGGATTACTCAAAAGAAGGGGCCAGTGTGGCACAGTACAGTCATGCTTGGATAGTCTGCAGACCCTGTCAGCTCTGCAAGCACAGAGCAGAAACCATAGGTGTTGAAGCCTATGCTGGGAGAAAAGTGACAACTCTGGAAGTAAGCTTGTTTCTTCTTGTTAACCAGTACTGAGGAATTACCTTCTCAGACGTAGGGCTGTGCAGAATAACTTTAAAACTCAAAACTAAGACATATTGCCTAGAATTTGAGTCATCCAGAGGACTGTTAACGCTAAAATCTAAATTGGGTTACACCCTCATTTGGGCAGAATAGTCTTGGTATATAATCAGAACTGATACACTGACTCCCAGTATGTTGGTTCTGTGAATGTACCTGCAGAGCAGCAAGCAGGATACCACAGGCAATAGAAACACTGATTTCATTGTAGTAGTGAGTCTTCTTTTTGCCATTTGGAAGCTGCCCGTATACTTGCTTGAAAATGAGGATCAAATATGGAGCAGTGTCCAAGTACTCTTTGATCCAGTTTGTTCTGCAAAAGAATAATGTTTAAGACACTTATTTTGCAACCTTTTCACTCTCCCGTAAGTCACATATACTATCTAAAAGGGGCACTAAAAGTACATGACAATTATAGAAGTACACTGAAGCTTAGAACATTTACTGCAAAGGATTAAGCATTATCAGCTTAAACAGAAATATTTCTGGAAAAAAAAAAAAGCTTGAATAGAGTTCTCAGTTTTAACAGATTCAGCTGAGGAGTTGATGCACTCACTCTGAAGAGTGGTATTGCATAAAAATAGGAGGTAGTTCTTGACCTCTTATCTCTGAACTGGCCTCATGAGCATTTGGTCTCAAGATTATTTAATTTCTGGCATTTTGTAGACTTGCAGCTCCATCAGTTAGTAGCAATGCTGACTTTCTGTGATAGCAGCGTAAACTGCTGGCAGAAAAGTTCAAAACTTCTTGGTTTAAGGTGTAAAACTAAATATAATCTCACAGCAAAATAAAATTATTCTTTTTCTGGGTATTTCAGACCTGTTAGAATTCTTTTCCCATTTTTTTTTTTAATACTAATATATGCAATTGTGATATAGGATTTAGATAAGAACATGTGTGCTATCTATTGTTCTAACTCAAAATATAAAAGGTACTATCTTTTGGTTGTCTGCATGGGATATAAAGTTACATATGGTATAAACACCTAAAAAACAATAACATCATGAAACAAGTAGGGAAATCAACCTCATAAAGTTCTGCAGATACGCTTCATTTGACAAACTAAGACTCAGTAAATGGCTTCCCATTGTGTGAAGTTGAGCAAGTCAGTCAGACATTGGAAGGCATTTGGAACAACTAAATATTGGATAATTTAGCAATTGCATAGGGACGAGCCTTGGGGCTACTTCGGTCAGCAACAAAGCTCCCAATGAATTTGGGAGCTTCATTGTCTGTCAAACAACAGGAAAAAAGTAGGATGAGTTATGGCAGCAGAGGTTACATAGGAAAAAAAAAATACGGAGCCAAATGTTTGGAGAATTTTAAAGATGGAGAGTGCATAATCCCTTTACTGGAAGCAATTTATGAACCAGCCACCAAGGCATAATTCTACATATATATTTAACCTTTTCTTTCTAAACGTGAACCTTAGAAATATAATAAAAGCAAGAGATAGTAAAAAATGGAAAAGGATACTAGAAGAATTCAGACAAGCTTCTTTTATCACTTCAGTTTTCTGAACTGTAGTGCTTTAAGTAAGATTGCCGTCATCTTGAGAATGAAGACCATGCCATGCAACAGGAAAGATGGTACCAAACATCTGAGTCACTTATTTCATCCCTCTTCTGGTAAAGTTAAAGCACACAGGCATAGTGAGTTTTTCTTTTGTGTGTTATCAGTCAGGTGCTGCATCTCACCTGGCCTTTAGAACAAGGCAGACAGAATGAACATAAAGACAATTTTTTTTTTTTTTAAGCTCCTCCTGGGTGGAAACTCCACTTTCCCCAAACAGGAGTCTTTGCTTCCCAGCTGTAAATTAACAAAAGGACCATATTATAGCTACTCTTGCAACTCTCTGGCTGGAGAAGCCTCTGACACCAACTTCCGTCTTTTCCTGTGATGAGGACATGGGAAATATTTACAGCTGCCCACCTGAGCAGCATCAGAAAACTGGTGAGAGTTTAAGGAGCACAGACTTGAAAGAACAATTTTAAATCAAGGTTTTAAAAATTGAGCTGAATATTGTCAGGTTTTATGTTGTTTTTTGTTTTCCTGAAAAGAAGTGAAAAAAAATGCAGGGGGAGGGGGAAAATCACTACTAAAATATCCTGGTATAGTCTTTCCTAGACTGAAACATGGCTCCCTTCAAAACTCTTAACCAACTAACTTTTTCATACCTCAGTCTTTTCAGGTCATTAACCCATCTGTCTCCCATCCTTTTTTTGTAGTTGATTTCTTCTTCTTCTTCTACAATCTCACGGATCTTATGTTTTAAATATGGATCTTGCACTACCACAAAGGTCCAGGGCTCAGTGTGCGCTCCACTGGGTGAAGTGCCTTCATATAAAAACAGAGCAAAATGAAACCCCAGGAAGCAGGGCGTGCAGTAAGAAGTATCAGCTCTTCCTTGTAGGCTTTCAGACTACAACAGAGCAATGGAAGAGCAAGTGGATGAGATGGAAAGGACTCAGATAAGTTCCAGCAGACAATCATATTCATTTCTTTCTCAAAGAATATGAAGTCCATTAATGAAGTTAGTAATTTCATAGAGCCATCTTAGAGGAAACTAAAGTTGGGGATTTGTAAAAACCCCTTTGTGGTTCTTATGATGAGGCAGTACTATGGTGCAATATATGAACACAGTAATGTTATTGCGAAACATTATACCAAAATATATACCTGAATATGCACCAAATGCTGAGACACAGTTTTAGCTGAAGGGCAAAGCTAATGTCTTTCAGGGAAACAAAGCGAAGTGACCACATGCAGGGCTCTGTCACTGACTGACAAAGATGAGGAGCTGTACAATGCAGACATCTGTCATTTAGCCTACAGGTTTGAGTTTGTTGTCCCAAAGACAGCTGGTGTATGTAGGTGTGCACATATTAAATCTGCACTTGTTCATTCAGTCCTGATCATTACACACCAACACCACTGGACAACATTTTAACTGTCTAGAGGATGAAAGCCAGAAGTTGAAGAATATAGTTATCGGTGTAGGTTCACAGATTAATAAATTATATGTCTCTAGTCCCTCATACACATTTTAAAAATATTTGAAAGTCTCAAACACACATAATGTCTGCTTACCTAGGCACCAATTCCAGTTTGAGAAGCACTGAATAAGCAGCTTGAACTATCTTTTGGATTAAAATGTGTTTATATCATGAACCTTACCTCTCCTCAGGTTTGAGTTAGAAAGGATAACCTTTATGCTTTGCTCTGTTTTCTTTTTCTCCACAGAGCCCAAAGCTTTCAGGATTATTTAGTACTTCATCTGCAGTTCAGGCTTGTTCGCTTTGCTGCATTTGCCAAAACATGCTCAGTGTTTTAATGATTCCAAGCTAATTAGAGGAAGATGGAGACTTACAGAGCAGTAACAAAGCTGCTTAGAGTTTTTAAAAGGAAACAATGCACTTCAAATGCTAAGAATCTCTATATTATTAATCCTGCTAGAGGTTACTGAACTTTTCTCTAAGGCAGCTTGTGCCTATTTTGTATACTAGCAGCAGCTGGTTCATAAAATAAGAGAAATAATGAGGGTCAAAACCACGCCTGGCTGAAGTTAATGTCACTAAAGTAGAGATGAGATTAGCCCAGGATGTGACAGTACTGATTCGAAACACATAAATTCAAAAAAAAGAAAAAAAAAGGAAAAAAAAGAGCCAACCCCCTGAAAATTAATTTCTAACATTCAATCAAATAACCTCTATCAGTGTCCTCAGTGTAACACTCCAGTCATATGCAACACAGCCCTGGCACTGATGTTGAAAGGACTGGAAAAATTTTTCTGTTCTAGACTGAAAGTTTTTTCTAATAATAAATCTGAACCATTTCTGTCAACCAAAATATTTTTAATTGCCGAGACAATTTCATCAATTTGTTTTGAAAAAACAAACAACAAACCAACAACAAACAAAATGCACACATGGTAAATATCATCATAATGCATTAAATTTAAAAGTATGTGAAGTACACATGGTTTGATATTTTTGAGAGAAAAAACTTCAATATTTCTATTTGAAGGATGTCTCACTAAACTCTACATTGATTTTACTTTAAATAGCATTTAAAAATTGAAAATTAAATGTTTTGTTTCATGGTATTGAAATGCTCCTTTTCCCTTTTGGGTTCACTACAGATATAAAGGAGCTGGGAACGTCCCAGTGCCAGACCCCTATATAAAGCTGTTCAAGCTGAGTAATTTCCAATCAAGCAATGGGTGCTCATGGATTATGGCCACAGGTGAATCTAAGAAAACCATACACTAAATGCAAGTTCCCTTGGCTTTTCCACATCATTTTTACACAGCCGAACAGCAATGCTGATTTTTTTATTTTTTTTATCCCCAGACCTTGAACCACCCAGTACCATACCTGCTGTTCTGATGACGTTATCGATAACCTCCCTGGGGACTGGCTCATCACTGAGAAACCTGACAGATCGCCTTTTATTAAGAAGTTCATAAAACATCTGTGACCTTTTAATCATTTCGGCCTCAGAGTAGCGCTCTGCGAAGAAGGGGACATGGGCAACATTTTCATCAAGTCCTTGCCACTCTTCATCAACCTCTGCAAGAAAATAAATGTAGTTAGGGTTGGTTTTTTTTCTTTTTTTTTTTCCTGGAGAATGTTTTTTATATGTTTGGCATTCACTACTGTAGTGCACTTTGGCCTGCATTGGCGTACATTGCACTTCTACACCACTGGAAAGGCAAAGTCTGAGGTTCCAGTTAACACAACCCATTGATCCCTAGCTCCAGCTACTGAATAAACACCTTGTTTAAATATCGAGAGGCAGGAAGGCCCTGGCTGGCTGTTGCAAGCTTGATCCACAAAGAAGTTATGGTCTTCTCCATTTCAGTCTGCAAGGCTGCCTGTAAAAACGGGTTACAAGCTGAAACAGTGGTAAAAGGTAGCCAATCTTTCAGCCCAATTTTCTCAGTAAGTAAATGTGAACATGTGTGTTCCTTTCTGAGCGGTCTAATAAGAAAAAAAAATCAGTTAAATTACTGAGGTTAATTAGAGGGCTTAACTACCAATATGTGTAAAATTGCCTCTGAAGAGCTGAATGTTAGCTTCTTCCATATTCATGTTTCATAGAAGCAGCATTACAACTCTAGGCTCTGTGCAAATGTGACTTTGTGGTTAAGTTCTTTGGTTTCATGATACTTTCAGCATAAAAGGAAATGGATGACAGGCATCTATACTTAGGATAACAATATATCAAATGCAGGATATTGTGTTTCTTGTCTTTAATTTAAGAACTCAAAATGGTTCCTCATTTCACTAAAATCTGTCTCTTCAGGGTTTTTTTATACCACAAAATGTATCTCTTGTTTTCTCCGATATGCCCTTTTCCTCCCCTGCATTCCTGGAATCAACAGGGATTTTTTGCAGCTGTGATATGGAAGTTAAAGCCATTTAAATTTTGCATTTTGGATGGTCAATAATATTGAGCTATCTTCTACAAAGGGCTGAGTCAGGAAGAAGTATCCCAGTTCTGGTTTTAGTCACCATTAGGCTATTATTCTGGAATCATAGCAAATCCCAGTGCATATTCAAACATCAATTATTCCTGTGTTTTAGTAGTATGAACTTGCCTTAGAGACAAGGCTGATTTTTTGTTCTTTTTATAAACAGCAGTGAAATATTCACAAGAATGGCTCAGCATGTCCAAGGTGCTGCAATATACACGGTTTCCTATGTTGAATTTAAGCAGAATAATTCTGATCCCCAAACAACATATATTTCATTCTGTTTACAAAGAAGCCACCCATAAAATTTGTTTTGTTTATCATTTCATGCTTGTGTTAAGCACTCTCAGTCACAGTCTGCAAGTATCTGGCTCCAGGGTAATAGGAAGCAGTGACCCATTGTAAAAATTATTTTTGTGGTCATCTTGAACACTCAAACTAAAAAGGAAGTGGATGCCTCTTCCTAGTGTTCCCTTTGTGGTTTACACTTAGTAAAATAGAATATTTACTGTTCAATAGCAACCAGCTGACTAGGACTTGCCCTTTGCCACAGTTCTGGTGATCTTCTCTTTCTGAAACTTTCAGACCACCAAAAAATTGTTATGCCTCCTCCACACACAGTAAAGAGAATACTACAGGCTTAAAAGGCTGTGTTTACACTAGCAGGTAGTGTAGTGCAATAGGATGTCAAGAAGAAGAGCTTTTGCTGGGGACCTGGTGTTCAACATCATACGTGTTTCAGAGCGGTAGGGTAGCTGGAGAGGGGAGACAAAGATATGATTATAGCTTTGCATCCTTCTCACCTCTCCCATCCTATGCATGGTACCATAGGATGCCATTTTCTAGGTCAGCTACATTATGCTGGTAAAAGCCAACATGCAAAACTTCCCACAGTTTTTCCCACAAGCTGGGGCAGTGATGGCTGGCAGCCAAAAAATTTGAGAGGAAAAGCGATGATGCAAAAATGTATAAAACCCTAAGAAAAAAAACAGGAAGTTGTAGGATGACGGCTCATCAACCCTTTCTGATTTGACTGAGGATTGCATGGCTAGTACAGAAATTCAGAAGATGTTCATTGATACAGACAGGACAGAGAATCATGCAACCTTTGGGCATGCAATGTCTCCTGCAAGCTCTTCTTGAGGACTTGCAGGCTTGGAAGCTGGATGGCCTCCTGCAACTGTCTTGATTGGTCCAATAAAATTAATTATCTCTCTCCAAATCCATCTTGTGTATAGCACTACTGATACTGCAACAAAGATATTCATTGTTGAACTGAGATTTAGCAGTTACACAGAATGGTACACATCTTTATTTCATTCATAGGTGCTCATGTAAGAGGAGCTTCTAAATGTAAAAAATACTCTCCTTACGATAAAAAAAAACTTCCTGAAATCAGCTGAGGTTGTGCATTGTTTTTCAGAAGGTGGAATCTGACCAGAAAATTATACTGAGACTAAGTATTGGTTTAGTGTCTTGGTGAAAATTTCAGGTCAAACTATACTATTTGTGTTTACATCAATGTGCTGTTGTGATTATCCCTGTTCATTTCACAAATTTACAATGTTAAATGTCCTGGGAAATAGATTATTTCTAGCCTAGAAACAATTAAATAAAACTAAATCCAAGACCCAAGAGTTCTTGTGTGCTTTCACTATTTACTTTCTACAATAAGGTTTTTATGAAAGTTCAGAAAGTAGGAAATACCATACATCAGTGCACTGTACCTTTTATTCAGCTGTTGATGAATGAGACTCAATGACCTAAACTTAGCTCCCAAGCAAACCCAAGACCTGCTTAGTCATATCTTTTTCTAATATTATTGCAAAGCTATCAACAATCATTTTGAGTTAGAGATACTGAGCCTCGTCTATAAAATACTGAAAACCTTTACAAAGGGGGTTTGTCAAATCAGAGCAAAGGCTGGAGGAAATTCATGTAATCTCTGTACCTGGTTTTGAAACACAAGGAGAGTAAAGCCAGGTAGGTGATAAACCATCAATACCATCAAGGACTGGAGAACAAGATCAACCTACTTATATGGATGAAGACAGTAGTCAGAGAACTGACTCAGATGATGTACTTAATCCAAAGAGAATATTGTTTGCAGCCAGTGGAGTGCAGAGGCCTAGAGAGCAAACTGGATGAGCTGTCAGTGCCTGTAGAGGACATGAAGCAAAACATGACAGAGAAGGAAGAATAAAGACATAATAACAACAGCAGTGCCTGGTTTAACTTCTGCAGGAAGCATATCAATAAAAATAGGTAACAATCAATGCTGTGGTAGATTTTAAAGAAATAAAACATAGCATGGCCAAAATAAAAAAGGATTGTTTTTTGAAATGCACTGCCTTCTGGTATAGTGTGAAGCCTACAGAAGCCCCCAAGGTCATAGCTAGACGAGGACACATCTTTAGGAGAGTCATATTGCCTCAGCTGCATCATCGTCACCAAGTAGCTGGTGGAAACATACCTTTCCAGGCGTAGACCAAAGAGGAAATACTATTACAAGACTAGAAACCAGGCTTCCCAGCTGAAGCATCCAATACCTTAATCAAATAACCTCTTCTTCTCTTGGTGCAGTGACTCTCTTAGCTTTGGTTTCCATGACAGGAGAGGATGTTATTTAAAAATAAAAAAAATAATATTAATAATAAAAAAAAGTACCCCTAAACTAAGAATTATCATTTCACACAATTTAATTGACTAAATGAAAGGGTAAGGAAAAGCATGTCTATAACTGTGGCTCTCAAGAGAACTTTTTTTTTTTTATCCCTTATTTTACCTAGTTTTTTCTGTTAAGAGAGAACCAAGGGATTAAGAAAAATTAAGTTGGAGAACTCAGATCAAAGAATTCAGAGATCAGGAAGCAGAGAGATTTGGCATTTCTTTAAATCAGAAGAATAAAAATATCTTAAATGTAATTGGTTGAATAAACATCTCAATTAAATGATCTCTAGGCAACTAGGAATGGAAGAAAGGTGTAAATTAGCACAGAAACCTTGACCTTGTGATACATGAGATATAAAACTGGTAGTTTTACCTAAGGTCAAGCTGACTTAAATTTTGCAAGGTTTCTTTGCTTGTTTTGTGGTGGGTTTTTCCAGGGAGGAAAAAAAGTACTTTAAAAGATTAAAGGTAAGGTGACTAGTGAGAATGAGTGTGAGATCATTCATTACAAACGCTTGTTTACATCTCTGTGTATTCCGTCACTTCATGGACAACAGACATCCTGCTAAGTCAGTCTGTTATCTTGTTAGGCACATTCTCAAGATTGTCATCAGTTCTGTTGTACATTTACAATAGTTATCACACTTCCTGCTTTTTAAGCTAACCTGAAATAATTTTGGCTCAGACATCCCAGATGAGATCTCATTTTAAAAATACTAGTTCTCTAACTTGCTTGAAAATTCTTCTCTGGATACATTTAGGGAGGTTATGATCAGCCTACAAATCACATAATAAATTTTGGCTCAATTTGTAGCAAAAATTCGTACCAGGAGTTCCTAATAACAAACTCACACTGAGAACAATGACTTGCCACTTCATTTCTGTTGACCACTGACACTTTCCTGTGTTGCTGGCTCCCGAATGTACGTCATTAAGAAATTACACTTGTATACGCCTTGGTTTTACACAAAGGCCATTAGATAATGTTAACAATTGTTTCTGAGGCTGATCCTTCAGAAACCTGACTTGTAATGTCAGTCTAGACCAATGCATTTGGTTTCCAAACCAGCTCTCTCAGTTTCTTCTCTAAGTAACTCCTTTAGCATAGAATTGCTCTCCGATTCACTTTTCCAGTGTAAAGACATGTTGCATAGGAAAACATTTAAATGTATATGAAGAAAGATTTCAGATACTTGGACTTAAAATGCTGAGCAACTGCTGTGGTTTTCGGCTTGATTAATATCAGACTGCTACAGAATCTGCCACTACAGGAATCCCTGTAGTGAATCCAATCCTGAACTAAGTGTGTGTCTAATAGGGTACTAAATGAGATGGAGAGCCTAACTAGTTGGTTATAAATAGTGGTTAGCAAACTGATCCTGAAAACCTCAAGAGTTGTTCAGGGATCTTAAGAAATAGAAGAATCAAGTTTGAGAGGCAGACCCTAGAAGAAAGAAGCCAGCTTCAAAATACTGTGAAAATTACCTGAAACTGGAATATAGTTATAGAAGGTTTCTTAAGATCTTCAGAGGGCTGGAGTGATTTACAAAAGGAAGATTTGCTGGTTTACTTAGTAAAAGGAAAGCTGAGAGGTAATCTGAATGCTGTCTATAAGCCACAGGAGGGTATACACCAGGACTGGAAAAGTATCCTTTAAACTAACAAGAAGGTGGAACAGGAAAAATGGTTATAGGGTAGTATTAAATCAGTTTGGGAAAAAAAGTATTTTGAATCCCTAGCATGAAGTTCGGGAATAGCCTTCCACCAAGGCTGAAGAAAGGAGGTCAAAAAAGGCCATTTTCCATGTTCATTTAGCTGATGACAAAGGCTGGAGGTGTGAGCAACAGCAGGGAGATAAGCACAATGATGCATCACGCCCATGTAAATCCTGTGTTCCTAAATGACAAAAAGCATGAACTGTCATTGAATTGGAAAATTAAACTGCTACTGTCTCATTCGTGTCAGTCACATTATTAAAAGACATGGGAACCCTTTGATCTTGGGGAAAGGAGGAACACTTCTAAGTGGGAGAGGTCTATTTTAAAAAATATCACAAGCGATGAGCAGTGCATTTTCCAAAGAGATTAAACATTTAGGCCTTTACACATTGCTTTATAGACCTGAGTATGTGAGAAGTAGAGTATGTCACCAAAGTCCTCACAATTAATTAAATAAAATTCAACCTCATTCTTCACACCACTGTAAACTGGATCTGTATTTTTCTTATCCCCCAATTGTATTGATTGGAATCTATGGCCAAGAAAGCGACCAATATACAATAAGCTCAATGGGCTAAAGACTGAACTTGTCTTGCAACAATTCAGATCTAATTGTGGAAACCTAAAGCAGTGGGAGATGAGGTATCCCCACTTTGGGATAAGATGCCCACCACTAGAAGAGTATCCCTGTGACTCACCCTTCAAGGCAAGGCTGAAGAAATATCTTTTTCATCTGTGTCTAATTGGTAATCACACATGGTGTAATCCAAGACATGGCCAGATATACAGATGTACAGACCATTCTTGCCAGTCCACAGCATAACAATCTCTTATTCTGGATCTCATAAACAAAGGGAAAAGTTACAGGACAGATGGGTATGCAAACAAATCTGAAGTACTGCCAGTTAAGGCATTAAACTAATGGACTGAGAGTACACTTTCCACTTAATCAAAGAATTGGGTTTCTGGCTGCTCTGTGAAACGTCTTTCTCTTCAGCTACAGAAAACATAATGCAGACAAGCTTGGGAGCTTGCCTTGAGAGCTTTTCCCATTCTTCCCTTCACTGCCAATAAGTGACTCTACTGAGTCTGCCCAAGCAGTTCAGCTAATTCCACTGAACGCTTTGCTGCTCAAAGGTATGCCCCTCTCAGGGGAACCATCCCTGCTGGTGCCACTTCAGGAAAGGTTCATGGGGCCTTTGATGTCACCAGAGCAAGTTCAGCACTTTTCTCACGGAGCACTTCACTCTCTTGGCAAAGAACCTTCACTTTGGTCATGGATGTGTATTAAAAGACTCGCTCTTCAGCTGCCCCTTCCTGTCAGAAGGCTGTTTAAAATTCAGCTTGTTCACCTACACCTTTCTAGCTTTACACAAGGCCTTAAAAGTATTTCATCTTACCTAACTAATCCTCACCTAACTAATCACCTAACAAATTCCCTTCATACAAGCCAGCTTGAGACATTTCAGTAGAAATTCGCTTTTCTGATAAAGTAGATTTGTAAAGTAGCAGAATTTACATAGCAAGTAAAATATTCTTTACCATTAAGAAAACTTCTGTTCACATCCATATTTCCATTACAGCATCTAGGTCAGTCAGTGAAAATTTTAACTCTGACAACAAGGTGAATATTTTCATCTTTAATTGTAGCATTAGCAGAGCAGCAGATCTTTACCAAGGTGGCCATACTCTCTTAGTAGTAGGTGGCCATATCTCTTAGTAGTAGGTGGCCTACACACAGGCTGGGCTTTACCCTGCTGAAGAAAAACTTCACTAAGGATGATGCAATTATTTTAAATTTTCTGCAGGTAAAAGATATGCCGGTTTTGCAAAGATGCTTGTTTGAATCATATGCCCTTAAGTGAAAAGCTATTATTTGTTGTTAAAAGTAACATAGCAAGAAATCCTAATTTAATGTTGGATGACATGGTACATAGAGGTTTTATTTAAAAATAAATAAATCTCCTTTCAGCAGCTGCACAAACTTGCCTATCTACCTTTCTATATTTTGTAAGCAATTTTAAACTGGTACAGTTTTGAATTTAGCACCTGAATAAATGGGAAAACAACTAAGGCATAAAAGAATAACATTTCGTATATGGAGCTGTAGCAGTGATGTTCCTTGTTAAGAGCAAATATGTCTGTCTAAATCTAAAATTTTTAACTATATAGAAACAGCTGAAATCAAAGATATCACTGATAATTCATGGTTTATGACTTGAACTACTCACAGGAATTTTAATTTGCAGCAATTTAACTGAACTAGTAAGCCACTACTGACAAAGCAAATATGGGAAAATTTTATACTGAACCTATTTTTCATTGAACAAAGGAGGGTAGAGCATATGAACTAATTTTTAAAGAAATCTTGTATATTTAGGAAATAGTCAACATAGTTTAAAATGATTAATCAACTATTTCTGGAAACTTACACAACACTAACCAAAAGAACATTGAACACTGAGAAAATAAAGATAAATAATGGTTATTAGAAATAGGTATATGTGCAGAAATACAATATAATTTTCAAGATTCCTAGAAGCAGGCTCAGGTAATGTGTCATGGGAGAAAAAGAAAAAAACACATGAAAAGCCTTTGAAACCAGCTTGAAGAAAACAAACAAAAAAAAGGATGTATTAACAGCAAGTTTAAAAAAACTTTGTATAAACAGAACTCTCTAGATTTTTATTTCATGAGGAGATAAAGGGACCTTATGAAGGATAGTCAGGAAGCAAAACGAAGGAAGGGCACATTTTGTGCCCAGACTTTTGTCCAAGCTGTGCACCTGAAATCACTACTGAAAAAAAAAGAGGTATTCTGTACAGGTTCAAATACACAGATGAGTGAAGAGATTAGCAACATCACCACATTTTGTTTTTAAATATTTGATCAACATAGCTCCCAAACGATCCCAGTGCTAATCCAGCTAAAATTCTTCATGGACATTCTGAGAAGTCACAAATGACAGACTTTTTTTACTAACTGCAATAAAACCATTTCCAACTTTTCGGGGGTGCTGGGACCAAATATGTAGCACTGAACGGTAAAGTGGGATGAGATGTCTATAATATCAGGTTGCAGAAACTCCTTCCTTGGGTTTTTCCTTTGCTCACATTAACGAGGGCTGGGAAGAGGCTGGGGGCACTTCAGCAGTATCTCCTTTCTTTCACTACATTGCCCATGGCATCCCTCAAAGGTCTGAGATCTGCTGTGCAGAGGGACAGACAGGAGTCTTTGAAAATGCATTTGCTTTTTGAACTGACCTGTGGATCTGGAGTAAATAGAAATCTACAGAACAAGTGGCGTGACATGAGGAAAGCCTCCTCCCAGAAAGCTGACAAGCTCAGGCACAGCAGCAGTGCAACACGATGCATTGTTGTCACTGTGACAAGTCCAAAGATCACATCTCTTTTATTCATATCAGCAGGTAAAACTCAAACAACAAAAGTGCTCAGATGGATAAGATTTTTCTTACCTTCTTCCTCTAAGTGGTGGTCAGTGCCATCTTTTAAATCTTCATCCACCCACGGGCGAGATAAAGGCTTGGTTTTAGTCTCGTGTTTTTCCTTCTTTCCGTTAGTCTTCTTCAGTATTACCCCAATCAAAACACATATAATGGCTATAAAGACTGGGGTTAGGGAAGAAAAAAGTGCCATGACTACAGGACTGTGGAGCCTTCCTTCCCAGTTCAGTGGTTTCTCCTAAAAAAGGAGACCATGAAAAGGGAAGGGCAAAACAGCAATGAGCAGAAAGGGGTGGACCCAAGGTTCAGTCCTTGACCCTATCCTGCTTCTACTTTTCAGCCACCGCCCCCACAGTCTCATCTGTGATATGTTCCCTTTGTTAAGGAGACGCAGGTTTGAATATTTTCTGGGAAGAAACTGCTTATAAGAGCAAGTGCTAAGGAAAGACACTGTCCATGTACAAACTCATAAACAATGTCCACTGTGTGTGTGTGGGAACCTTCCAACACCCTGGACTGAGGCAGAACACTTCTTCCCCCCTCCCAAACCTGCTCATTTTTATTGCTATGGTGACCCCAGTAATCTTCCTTGTAATGATTGTTAGAAAAATCTAAGCAGGATTGTGACTTAAAAACCGGTGGCATGTCTTCAATATTTGACTCAACGTTAATTGTATTGTACATATCCCAGGAAATCAGAATACCACCAAGTGAATATCAGCTTGCAGCACCACCCCTGGGCATGCAAATGAGTCATTAAAACAGTTAAGTAAAGTGGCAGCATTACCTCTGTATGAAGCATGAATGAGATGATTCACAGAACTCTGTATTCATCCACAATATTGTGGGGGAAGAAGAAAGAATCTGAGGAATCAAAGTAATAAGTATTTGAGGACAAAGTATCTTGCTACAGTTTATTTTAAAACTGTGATTCAGCTCTCTTATCAAAGAAAGATTAAAAAGTAATAGGATCCTGGTCTAATCCAAGAAGGGTCAATGTCCAAATGCTTAACCCATTTTTTACCTCATCCAACTGCTTGGGAACTGAATCTGCACAGCAGTACCGAATTGATGCCTTTATCTGGTACTGTTGGGACGTACTAGATGATGAAATGCCAGATGGTGGTGGGTGCTGAGGAGTGTGATGGAGAGTGAGGTACAGGGGTACTGGCTACATGCAGGCACTAGCACCCATGAGCCCTTTTTATTGATGGCTACACACCAGCCCTGCCAAGCCTAATCTTATGCTGCACAGAGCCAGCTCTGAAGTCTCTGCATCCATGGCAAATTAATCTGCCTTTTAGATAAGCCCACCCAAGATAAGTGGAAGAAGTTATGGCTGTAACCATTCCAGGAGATGGTGTGTCCCAGGGCCCTGACACATCATACTCTGAGACTGGCATCTGCTATGGGGGCATTGTGGATCCTGCCTAGGGCATCCCCTGTTTCCTTAATGTTGGAACCAGGGCACAGAGGAGAAAAAAGCTGGGATATGCACAGGTTTCATCCTCACAGATTCTCAGTCTATACCCTAGCCACTCACATCTCTCACCCCACTGGTTTTGCAGCACTGGGCACATCCTTATGGTCCCATTTGACACTGCCTCTCCAAAGGCTCCCTACCTTCCCACACTTCAGCAAATACTGCTGCTTGCCTTAAGAAAGGGTCTTGTGTGTCAGGAAGCACAGATTAATCATCAGGTTGCTGCATGGGGAGAGGAATATGTGGCCATACTGGTTGGCCATGCAGGATGAAAGTCTGACTGGCGGTCTAGTCATATATCCTCTTTAAATACAAGCTCCTTGCATTAAGGGGCAAGGCCAAGAAAGCTGCTCAGCTATGCACACATTATCTAGATGTGTTTAGGGGCAGAGTGCAACTGCCTCCAAACCTATACCCAGGTTAGGCTTTCCCAGATGCCCAGCTCAGATACAGAATAATTTTTTTTTTTTTTAGCTTCAAAAAAGTCAGGAGAAACATTACAAATAGCCTTGTTCCTAGGCTATTTATTATTTATATTTTATTATTTATTATTTATTAATTAATAAAGCTTTTCTAACAGACATGGAGAGAAGCTAGAAAATTTAGATAGAAATACAGCCATTGAGAACACCAAAGTACTCAAGCATTACTGCATGAAATCCATATAAACACTCTTAAAAGATACAGAACATCATAGTAAAAGCTTTGGGACTGAAAGTTCTTTCTTTAATACTTCCCATTAAATTTTGTTCTGAAGAAAGAGAACAAGTACTGAAGTATCAAATATAGTCCTTTATTTTTCTCAAAGCAAAAACATGTATTGACCAAATGTCATTTATAGGCTACAAGGACATGTTTAGATAGCACCATGCAGCTTGTTAGATCTGTACTAAGCTCACATGATTTTGCTACCAAGGGTCATGGGATTGATTTACTACCTCTCCTGTTTTACCATCCTACTGTAGATGCACTATGTGAAAACAAAGCCATCTTTCAGCACCCAGACATGAGCTCCAAGTTATGCAGTTCCATCTCTGCTTTGGATATTCCCCACAGGTTCTTTCCATCATCCCCATGATCTCAGCATACCCCGCTCATCCTGCTCGGAGGAGTCTCATGGCTAGGCTAGGGCAAGTCTCTTAAGTTCTTACTTGATGAGTCCATATAGGGACTAACAGAAGAGTTTCCCAAAAGACATAAATTATAGATAAGCCTCCAAATGCACAAATTATCAGTGACCATATGAATGTGAGCTGCACAAATACACAGAAGAGGAAAAGACTGAATGGCTAGGCAGAACCAAAACCATTAGCTCCTTGTCTTTCCTACCTGTTTTTCTATCAGTACACTATTGGAGAAATCTTAAGACTTCTTATTGGATGACATAGGTAACCTATAATGTATAGACATTCAAAAAGGAATTCAATACATCTGTTCAGCTTGGACTAACTATGAAATGCACAACATTAGGTCAAAACACCTAATGTACAAAGATTCTGAGACTTGGGAAGATATATGGAAGGAGGGAACTTTTTGTGCAGTCCTTCGCCTTCCTGTTTTTTCTAATCATCTTACCCTTGACCACATACAAACACAGGCTACACTACCAGATGACTTCAAATGGCTAGGAATGGTTATGAGAATTCTTACCTCAGTCAAAAGCAGATCTGTGTAAAGGACAGCAGCAGTAGAAAAAGAAGAATCCTAACAGGGCATGTACAAAAGAGCCGAGTAGGATGAAGGAGGTAATTGCAAAAAATAGAACACATGTCTGTGAGAGACAACACATTTTTGGGTTGCACATGTTTCTTGCTGAACATTATCAGTTCCACCATCTACAAGGAATGCATGCACTATTTCTGCAACTAGTCAGTGCATAAACCACTGTTGGGACCCTCAAGAGAGACACCAATATCTGGTGATGAAAGTATCCAGGCAGAAAACTTGTTGTGTTTATAGTTAGAAGCAAGAAAAGTTGCCACTGAGTATTGTCTAGATGTGCAATAAAATATTATGTTGGTATCAGGGACAGAAGTGAGTTTCAGATTTGAGTTAGTGTTTATTGAAAAATGACCAAAAAAAAGGCTGTTCCAGGGCCATCCATGATTAGTGCTCCACTCAAGATACATCTGCTATGGGCAAGGCAAAAGTATATCCAAACTACTTAATTTCCCAGTCAACACATAAAGACAAAGGTTTGGGATCAGCTGAAATTTATGCATCGGGTATTTGCATTACTAACAAATATTATTAACTTCATAAACGTCTTCATCTCTGTGATACATCTAGTACATATCCTCTTGGCCTGTGCCAGTGACCAGCACACAACACTTCTGAGCAAGGTGACCCTCACTATCCTGCTGTCTCTTTTCCACTGCCCCCTCTGAAGATATCAGCTATCTTGCTCTCTAGCATTAGATTTGATTACCTTTTTCATTAACTTAGCTCAGATTGCTGCAAATGTTATTACTGCTTATGAACTACCCTTTTGAAATCTAACAGCACAGTGGGTAATACAATCACAGCCCATAGCAACAAAAGCACGAGACAACAATTCACAGTGTAATAGAGTAATTCTTTCATTTGTCCTCAGTATACCGCCTTCAGTTGCAAGCTCCCTGTACTTATATATTACAGGGCAGAAGGAATAACTAGCAATAGACATCGTGGTTCATTAATATCTTTTTAAATAGAATAATGTATTTGTTAGGTTCTCGGGTACCAGATAAGCCATTACTCATGCTCAACAGGACAATAGTGGTCCTAAAAATATTTCTGATTTCAGAAAATAACTTAAATTTTAACCCAGAGCCTAATTTACTGCCAGTTTCATACCAGAGGGAGCAACTTGCTGCTGCTGTACCAGTGTTACCACCATGAACACATAGGAGTTAGTTAACCCATGGCAAGTCTGGTAGACAGTAACATTGCTACTCACTAAGTAAAACTGAGTTTTCAGAAACTCACTAAAACTTTTAGCTCTCAAAATAGAGATCCTGAAAACATCACTGAACTTACATGAAAAACCACGAACGGTCTGCAGATAACACAGACCTTGAAAGTGATTGGCCCCGATGTCAAGGGTTAGGGCTCAGATGGCCAGTAGACAAATGACAGACACTCTCTACTAACCCGCCTCCCTTCCCAAAGGGGAAGAGAAGGGGAACAAGGCAGAGATATTTATTCTCTGAGAATAAATGACAGAAATTGGAAAACTAAAATAGTTTTAACGAAACAATAACAAAAAATAATGACATACACTTAAACATAAACAAAAGCAATATCAAACCCAACTACCCTGATGGCAATTACAACCCGGTCACCACTGGTGCTGTGGACAGGCACGGGGGAAGTCCCAGAGTGAACTCAGTGGCAGACAGGAACCCGATTGAGGAGGGAGTTGTATTCTGGAACTGGATTCGGGAATGCACAGATTGGAATCAAAGGCAGAATGGATGGAGGAGTTCCTGGACAACGACCATTGAAAAAGAGATAAAACTTTGTGATTCCCTCAGCTTTATAATTAATATGATGTATATGGTGTGGAATAACTCATTGGTCAGTTTAGGGTCACTTGTCCTGTCCACTCCTACCTGCAGGTGCAGCCTCTTTACTTTCTGCACCCCCCGAAGTGGTACACAAGATTCAGCAGTGACCTTGGTCTCCCTAGGATCAAGTATAAGCAAGAGCCTTTCTGCACACCGATCCTT